TTATCAAAATACTACTTAGGAACACTGCTAGCTGTTCAACGCAAAACACGGAAATCTTGTAGTACAATACAGGGCACTTGTAATAGCATGCAAGTTAGAGATAATAATAATAGTAATAATAAAAATAATAATAATAAATGTAACATAATTAATAATAACCAGAATGAGCATATCAAGCGCAGTATGTGAACTATACCGGTGAGCTAGCTTTCAAAACGTAATCATCAATTCCGTTATTTTGCAACTATCTCGCCGGAAATACTTCGCTGGGTTCATTTAAAACACTAAGTGATGCACGCTTACTTAATACATAAAAAATGTCTTGAAAAACGTCACTCTCAATTTTTGTCATGATATCTGATGCAGGATATTGTGACGAAAAATCGTTTTAGCCATTAAAGCATATTATGCCATGTGGCAGTTCATCTCTCGCAACCTGCTGAATGGTAACGAAAAAAATATGATTAGAAATGTTGACTGCCATATATTCGTTCCAAATAGATCCTTGCACTCTTCCACCAGGCACCTTTCTTTTCAATTTTTTTTTCAGCTGTGCAAATAACCGCATACATGCAGCCTACTGTTACGGCTGTGCTTTTCACAGAAACCTTGGTTACCTTGGCAGAATAACATGGCTCCACGGACCAGCTCACTAGCAACGTGACAGTGTTCACAAAGGAGGAAAACCGATTAAAAAAAACAACAAACCAAGGAAATAACGCCGCGGGTGAAAGGCGAGAAAATGGGAGGTTGCTGTAAAGGAAAACACACACACACACACACACACACACACACACACACACACATATATATATATATATATATATATATATATATATATATATATATATATATATATATATATATATATATATATATATATATATATATATATCCTTGGCAGGCTCGAGGGAGAGCACCTTTTCTTTGGTTCAAACCGGGATTCAGGAAATAGACGTCGAACACGGACTTCACAGAATGAACCGCAATGATATGTGGGGGAGATCCTGCACTATAGGGTGAAGCCCTTTACAGAACATTATCAAGTGTTCGGCAGTTTCCTCTTCCTCTCCACATGCACTGCATACCGTGTCTACCCCTTCATATTTGGCCCGATATGTCTTGATTCGCAATACTCCCGTCCTGGCCTCAAACAGTAGAGAACTACCCCGAGTATTATCATAGATCCTTTCCTCGGCAATTTCCTGCGTAAAAGTTCAATAGATCTCTAGTGTAGACTGCTTAATCATGCCAATTCTCCACATGTAAGTCTCCGTTTTTTTCACTTTCTTCTTAACCGATAGTTCTTTTTGGTTTGGCCACCTGCTGTTTTCCAAGTATTTACCAGTCAATTTCCTGGTTCGCTTCCTCCATTTTGTATCGACATTCTTTATGTACAAGTTGCTGAGAACCTTCCTAGCCCAACACTCCTCCCCCATTTCTTTCAATCGCTTCTCAGCTTTTATCTTGCTACTAGCTTCCCTGCCCTCAAATGATATTCATCCCATATCACCTTGTACTCCCTGATTTAGAGTATTCTCGTGAGCTCCTAAAGCAAGCCTACCTATTCCACGTTGCTTAATTTATAATCTTGCTTGAACTACTGATCTCATGCACAAGACCTAATTGCGGAACCTCAGCCCAGGAAACATGACCCCTTCCATATTCCTCTCACAACATCATGCTTTTATTGCGATTCCACAGTGCCCTATTTTTCATCACCGCTGCCATTCCTGTTACCTTTAGTCGTCCTGAATATTTCGTGTTCCATTAGGTACTAGGTCCCATTGCTTATCCGTACGCCCAGATATTTGTATTTATCGGTAATCTCTAGCGTTACTTCCTGTATCCTAAGCTCACAACCTTCATTATCAATAAAAATCATGACTGCTGATTTTTCCTTACTGAATCTGAAATCTAGCCTATCTCTCTCATTACCGCAGATGTCCATCAATCTCTGCAAATCTTCCTTATTGTCGGCCATCAGCACTATATCATCTGCGTACATTAATGCTGGTAGTGCCTGATCAATGAGTTTTCCTTGTTTGACGAAAGAGAGATTGAAGCCAAGTCCACTTCCCTCTAATTTGACCTCTAAACCTTGTAGGTACGTCATGAATAACAAGGGTGACAGAGGACACCTCTGCCTAAGCCCCCGTTTCACCTCTGTGGGCTTGGATACCTGTTTTTCCCACATTATAACTACCTTGTTACTTTTATAGAGTTCCTTTAAAGGATTAGTGACTCCATCTTCCACACCTCGTGTGTCCAGTATTCCCCACAAGTCCTCTTGAACCATGCTATTGTACGCTCCCTTGATATCCAAAAATGCTAGCCACAGAGGCCCGAGTTCCTTTTCTGCGATTTAGATGCACTGCGTCAGTGAGAACAGATTGTCTTCCAACCTCCTGTGTTTCCGAAACCCATTCTGTAGTCCCCCCAGCACCCCCTCATCCTCTATCCATGCCTGCAGTCTTTCCTTCATAATCTGCATCGCCAGCCTGTAGACCAATGATGTCTCTGTTATAGGACGGTAGTTGTTTATGTCAGCCTTGTCCCCGTTTCCTTTATAGATCATGCTCATCCTGCTAAGTTTCCATCCATCGGGGACTTCACCATCGATTATTGTTCTGCTCACTGCCTCTCTCAAAGTCTGTTTAGACTTCGGGCCCAATGTCTTTATCAGCATAATTGGAATGTCATCTCCTCCTGTTGATGTACTACTTGGAACCCTCTTCTCAGCCCTTTCCTACTCTCGTTGAGAAATTGGAGCCATTGCACTACTTGATCCATCGTTGTCTATTGTGGTGCATAAGGCACTTCTTCATTGAAATTTTTCTGTCACCCTTGTTCTTATATATTCAATAGCTTCGTCCCCTTCTAGCCTAGCACCTTGAGCTGTAGTTATAAACCTCTGTTCTAGGCTTGTTTAATTTTTTAAGGAGTTTAAATGGTTCCAAAATTTCGCAGCTGTCTTTCTGTCCTTTTTATGTACTTCTGCCAGCCACTGAGCACTCTTTCCTCTGATCTTTTCATTGATCGGGAGGGATGCTTCCCTTCTAGAGCTTAGAAAGATGTCCCAATTTCTTTCAACATCATCTGTCGGTTCACCCCGCTGCTTAGCATGTCTGTGTTCCCTAGAGGCTTCCTGGCATTTTGCTATAGCTCTCTTAACTCCCTCATCCCACCAACTCTTGGGCTTGTGTCTTCTTTTCCGAGGTGACTTCTCACGTGCCTTAGCAAGCTCTAGCCCAAACAGTCTAATTAGATTTGTGTATGTCCACATTCTTTTATTATCCTCAGTGATTACTTTTTCAATTTGTTTGGTAGCCATTTCTATTTGCCTTACTGAATGAAAATTTTCCAGTAGTTGCTCATCTTGTCTCCTTCCCACTTTCGCTGCTCTTCCAAAACTTAGCTTGATACGTTTGTGATCACTACCCAGACTTCTGGAGCCACCTTCAACTATTTGCATTGCCCTGAGCTTATCATACATCCTATGTGACATCAGTGCATAATCTATCGTTGACTGCAGCCTTCCCACCTTCCATATTATTTGCCCTTCACACTTCTCACTACGGTTGCAAATGATCAAATCATGCCTTTCACACATATCCATGATCATTTTGCCTGTTGAGTCAGTATACCCATCTATATCTTCTATGTGCGCATTCATATCTCCTAGTATAATTATCTTGCACTCTCCTCGTAATTCCTCAATGGCCTTTGATATACACTTCACCATTGCCTCGTTTTTCTCTCTGGCCATTGCTCCCGTCCACAAGTACACCTAACCAAGGAGTGTCATCTGCCCAGCTACTTTCCCTCTTAATCATAAATGTTCCATGCATCCCTGCTTGACTTTTTGCCAACCCATGCTCTTATGTATGAGTGATACAGAGGCGAGCGGTTTCACGCGGCAGCCAGTCGCAACACAAGGCAGGAGGCATAGCCTCCGAGATTTTGTGCTAGCAGGGAGCTCCCAATTGAAAAGAGAGCGACGTTCCTGGCATAGTTTTTCTAGCAGGCATTGCACATTCTAAGTTAAGTTATCGACCCATTTCACTGTCGAGAATTGTTAGCGCAAACCACGCCTGCAGTATTCAAGAAGCTTCGAGATTGCAGTAGATCATTTCGTTAAGATTGCGCCCACTTCGCGAGCACAACAGATTATTCTGGAAGTTACGTCACTGCTAGCGATAATGCTAGAAAATTCGATGTCAAGTGTATAAATCCCAACGCGCTTCGCTGCTTGTCACTTGAGCGCCGGCCGAGGCTCTGTTCACGGCTATCAGTGCCCATGTGTTGCTGTAGCTGATCTTCACTTTTCTGGCCCTAAGTTCACCTGAATAAACCGTTTCATCTGAACATCGAGTCTAGCTGTCTTCGTCTACGTCACGACTCTATAACAGTAGTGACGAGGGACTGCTGATATTGCATTGAAATAACTGCATATAATTGCCCCTTTTACCCCCACGAGTCGGTTATTTAATGAGAAGCACGTCACCACTAAATTTATTTATTTTTTGCATGCGCTGCAGAGGTGGTTTACTTTCAAACTTAAGCGGGCTGTGGTGAAACTTGCCCCCTCCCCTTTCCTCATAGCTAATGTAGCCAGCTCTCACAAAAATATGCAGCACCACACTTACGAGCACAAGATATTTTTTCAAGATGTTATCGTAGTTTTATTTTTGTTTTATCTGAACACTGCAGCGTGCATGTATATTGCACAATGTAAACATTTGCTATATGTCGTCTTCACTATTATATATTATATCGCTGTGTTAAAATTTATGTAAGTGATGCATGTGCTCCTCCTGGATAGACAATCCCCATGAGGACATTATTGTCTGTATTTTTGAGACTTTACGGTTGATCTGTAATTTATGTATTTTATATTCCATGTATTTTTCATGTTCATGTATTGCTGCCGAAACATAGTTTTACATATAATTTAATGACCCTGCGCAACAGCTGGACACATTCAAGAAAAGCATCCGTGCAGTTATGCGCCAACATTTATTTATATCATACCAATAAAAAAAGGAGTTGCGAGGAATAGCAGCTGTCCACGCCATAGCACTTCAGGGGCATTCGGGAGTTCGAAGATGTGCCAACAATCACGCGTGCGCTTTCTTCTCAGAAGCGTACATCCACTTAGACAGCCCAGCGCATTTTATGTCGGCATGCGTATTCTATCAAATTTGGCTTAACCCAACGAGATTGTCATGTCACATTCTTAAAATACAATTTTCAATAACCACACCTAATTATGAGCGCATTACGTGACAGACAACAAGAAAAGCATTTGACGCGGCTTAGGCAGCCGCCGACAACCGGCTGCTCCATCTCAACGCTACACGAGCGCTGCCTCCTGGAAAGGATACGTTCGATCCTCATCTAAAAACGTTGCAACCGTAAATTCTACAGGCAGTATATTCAGATGCTGATATACATTGTGCTATGTTGATCCTCTTCCGAGATTTAGTGAACTTATCCAGTCTTGTTTCTTCACAGTCACACTTCCAGAGCAACTTTTGGCTAATATCTGAGATTTAGATGAGTAATGGACACCACCTGCAAAACAACAAGAAAACCGTGGCTATGCATGCTTGCATCTAAAAGTACTCCAATAAAGTTCAAATTACACCTTTATAAGCTGAACTTTTGTGTCCGAAAATGTCACTCTAACAAGCTATAGTTTGCCACTCTTTGTACCTCCACATCAAAGAACATTGTGTGTCTTTAGAGGGACTGACGACTGGCCAAAACCTGCGATTAGATCGTAGTAGAAGTGAAAAGAGCCTCAAATATCGTACTACTCAAGCTTTAACAATCAAGTTTGCTTTGCACCTATAATAGTGCTATTTTCACAGCTTTAAAAATGACTCGAGAAATCTGACAAGCCCAAAACATCCTGAACCTACACGACAGCTGCATCAGTGCCCCTTCCATAACACTTTTAGATAAAAAGATAGCCTTCATATCGGTGGATACATAATTATATTTCTTGAGTTGGTTCGAGGGAGCTCCATCTTTTATTGCCAACCTACACCTACGTCTGACCGATGTACTGTTCTCCTAAAGAAAGTGGGATCTGACACACAACGCCTATTAAATCCAGTTTATGCTTCTTAACACCCTTTTTGGGCTTTCAGTTACAGTAATCGCAGTTCGTGATGTCCGAAAGCATCACGAACTCTCAACGGCACGAACTGAAGTCCTTTCGTTCGTGTCACAACTCCGTGACAACACAGAGGATGCGCGCGGACTACTGTACAGCTTGATGCTTAAAACACTGCCCAAACAGTAAGAAATATTGTCGAACGCACAAGTATATGCAGGACAAGCTCTAACAGCTGTCACTATTCTTGCTTGTTCATGTGTGACAGCGGGCTTCTTTCACACACACGGCAGCAAGAGAAGTGACCTTCGTGCTCTCTCGAATCACGAATCTGGTAAGAGCGCACGAAGGAGAGGCCACACTCTATGGAGGCAGCACTCGTCGAAGCGCAAGAAGCGATGACGACATTCAGACCGCACCCAACGCGAGACCGTCCAGCCATCTCGCTACTGTTAACAAAAACGCGCTGAAAGTACAAAGGACCACCGATTGATATATGGTGTATATAAATGGCTTGTCGGTAGCATTCATGGCAACGTGCTTATAGTGGCGTAGTGGATAGTGCCGGATCTGCAGATTTGAGTTCCACGCCCCGCGACAGAACCTCTTCTGCTCACTTTTTCCTTCACAGTTTCTTTACACATATTTTACAAAATCATATCTATGACGTAAACATGTCAGTGAAGCTGTGATGGATCCTGGCATAAAATACTTTCGTTTTAAAATAGTAAATGGTGTCCAGCTTACAAAAGACACTTCATAATACCAAAATTTATCCTCAGTGCATGTCTCCTAATTTTATAAAGCGGCTCCACTGCAAATAATTGCCTTACAGAAACTGTGTCACACCAACTACAAGCGTATGCCTTCTGCACTTTTGTGCAGTTTTGGCCAGCATCACTTCTAAGCTATCAAATGAAGAGGACAACTACACACACTATCATGAAATTATATTGATTTATCTCAAGACAGTATTTACCGAAATTTGCTAGTTACAGTAAATGCTCATCTTGGCACACAACTGCATTGTAGCCAGCGCAGAACTGTGCCTACTTTCATACGTATCTATACAACTCTATGGAATGCAATTTATCCTCAGTTATGCAGTGAGCCCAAAAAATACACACCTCCCAGAAGGTCTTCAAAATCAGACTTCACCACGGGTGCTTCCACAGACACTTCACAGGGTGCCGACAAGCTGACGGTAACGTTTCCTGGCCGTAAAAAATCCAAAAAGATAGACATAAAAAAGAAATCTGCAGCCTATTTGAAAAAAGTAGCATCAGTGTTTGCTCCCCACAATGCAGCCAATGTAACATGAAACCTCCCAAGACAACATCTAAACTCGAGCCACCATCGCTTTTTCAATTAGTGGCATTTATTTGACGCATAAGGAACTCTCTCTGTAGGTACATGATAACAAACACGCACACACGCAGCACAAGAGTGGAACGGTGTGCATCTGAGCTAGTTGGTAATCGTGCATGTTCAGTGGCTGCAGAAATATTTGAACAAACAGATGAAGAAGAGTCACACGAACACACTGCTGCCCATGCATCCTCATACAGGGCCTTCGTGTTTTAAATGCAAATGCATTTCTTAGCCGGGCTATATCAGGCATCTGGCAATGTCCGGGCTGGTGTCCACGTGCCAGCACGTGTTATCTCTCTGCTCTCACTCCCTCTCCCATAGCAACAGCTGCAGACACGCGCGCATATCCTCTTCCATAGCAACCGGAGCATGTGGTGCGAGAGAGTGTAGGAGAAGGTAGGTACAGTGCTTTGCCGTTCCTTCTCTTGCCGTTCACTCTATGTCCTCCCTGTGCCCCAATTTCCCATCCACTCGCGCCTCACTCTCGACCATTTGCTGGCTAAACACCTCAAAAGAACATCCTGAAAAGTGTGCTCGAGATGCCACTGCGAAAAGCCAACGCCAAGCTGAGAACGCTGATGCCCCACTCTCCCATCCACTCACTCCTCACTTTCGACCGTTTGCTGGCAGGCGCCTACCAAGGCGATGGCAGATGTCGATGAAGGTGAATGTCCAACACCAACTGTACCCTCTCTTCTGCACAAGAAATGCATGCGCATTTCCTCACAATTCCCTTCGGGGATGTAGGGGCTTTATTTTTCTTCATCCCTGCATTTAAACATTGCTGCAAACCAAGCGTGTAACTGAGTGTGGGGGGGGGGTAGTCTAGGAATCCTATTTCTTACTTCCCCTCCTCATACTTTGATGGAAAGAAGCTTTTATCGAACAAAATATATCTTTCAAAGCATCAGGTGCACCACGGCCTGACAAAAATTATTCCCTGCAGGCCTGCTGCAGCCACTCAACAAGCATAATAAAGTTCCAACTCATCCTTGAATAATGCTCCTGGAATGCTTACCCAAGACGCTTTAGAAAAACAGATCACTAATTGATGGTAAACTTGACTTGTTCAGATCATTTTTGTCCTTTGGTCAATGGCTTCAAGAAAATACTTCATCATAATCATCATCAGCCTGACTATGTCCACTGCAGGACATAGGTCTCTCCCATGTTGCGCCAGTTAACTCGGTCCTATGCTTGCTGCTGCCAATTTATACCCGCAAACTATTAATCTCATCTGCCCACCTAACCTCCTGTCTCCCCCTTACCCTCTTGCCTTCTCTGGGAATCCAGTTAGTTACCCTTATTCACCAGCGATTGTCCTGCCTACGCGCTACATGCCTGGTCCATGTCCATTTCCTCTTCTTGATTTCAACTATTATATCCTTAACCCCCATTGTTTTCCCTAATTCACTCTGCTCTCTTCTTGTCTCTTAAGGTTACACCTACAATTTTTCTTTCCATTGCTCGCTGCGTCGTCCTCAATTTAAGCTGAACCCTCCTTCAATGCCTCCTAAAAAAATTATGCCTGGGACATGATCCCCGAACGCACTGCTTTACCATCTAATTTTACCCTCCTCTTTCGGTACGAAGGCGAGCGTCTCCGACGGCCGCCCCCTGCGAACACAGCAATGCTCTCACAGTTGCCTCCGAGCAGCCGTGATGTCACGTGACAGAGCTACAGTTATGTCACAGTGACTGAGCGGTACGGAGGTGAGCAGTCGTTTTTCTGCAGATTAAATTTAAGACCCACCTTTCTGCTCTCCTTGTCTAACTCTGTAATCATGAGTTGCAATTCGTCCCCTGAGTTACTCAGCAATGCAATGTCATCGGCGAAGCGCAGGTTACTAAGGTATTCTCCATTGACTCTTATCCCTAACTGTTCCCATTCTAGGCTTCTGAAAACCTCCTGTAAGCACGCGGTAAACAGCATTGGGGAAATTGTGTCCCCTTGCCTTACACCCTTCTTGATTGGTATTCTGTTGCTTTCTCTATGAAGCACTATGATAGCAGTTGATCCCCTGTAGATTTCTTCCAGTATGTTTATATATGCTTCATCGACGCCCTGATTCCGCAGTGTCTGCATGACTGCTGATATTTCTACTGAATCAAACGCCTTCTCGTAATCTATAAAGGCTATGTATAGTGGTTGGTTATATTCTGAGCATTTTTCTATTACCTGATTGATAGTATGAATGTGGTCGATCGTTGAGTAGCCTGTTCGAAATACTGCTAGTTCCTTTGGTTGATTGAATTCTAATGTTTTCTTAACTCTGTTAGCAATCACTTTTGTAAATAGCTTGTATACTACGGAGAGCAAAGTGATCGGCCCGTAATTCTTCAAGTCCTTGTCACCTCCTTTCTTATGTATTAAAATGATGTTAGCATTCTTCCAAGACTCTGGTACTCTTCCCGTCAGGAGACACCTTGTAAACAGGGTGGCTAATTTTTCTAACCCAATCTGTCCTCTCTCTTTCAGCAGATCTGATGTTACCTGATCCTCACCAGAAGCTTTGCCTCTTTGAATGCTCTCCAAAGCTTTTCTGACTTCTTCTATCACTACTGGAGGGGTGTCATCTGGGTTACTGCTAGTTCTTATAGTATTAAAATTGTGGTTGTCCCGGCTACCTTACAGATCTCTGTAAAACTCCTCTGCTATTTTAACTATTCTATCCATATTGGTAGTTATTTTGCCTTCTTTGTCCCTTAGCGCATACATCTGATTTTTCCTTATCCTAAATTTCCTCTTCACTGCTTTGACGCTTCCTCCGTTTTGCAGAGCGTGTTCAATCCTCTTCATGTTATACCTTCTTACATCGGATACCTTACGCTTATTAATCAACTTCGAAAGCTCTACCAACTCTATTTTGTCTGTTGTACTTGAGGCTTTCATGCTTTGATGCTTCTTAATGAGATTCTTCGTTTCCTAGAACAGCTTGCCAGTGTCCTGTCTAACTACAGTACCTCCAACTTGCACTGCACACTCCGTAATAATACTCGTCAAGTTATCATTTATTGCGTCACCGCTAAGGCTAGTTTCCTTGGTGAGAGTCGAGTACCTGTTCTGAGGCGAGACTCTGAATTCCTGTACTTTCCCTCTCAGTGCTAGCTCATTGATTGGCTTCTTGCGTATCAGTTTCTGTCGTTCCTTTTTCAACTCTAGGCAAATTCGAGACTGTACCATTCTATGGTCACTTCATTGTACCTTACAAAGCACTTCCACATCCTGCACAATGTCTGGGTGTGCACTCAGTATAAAGTCTATTTCGCTCTTGTTTTCGCCATTAGGGCTCCTCCATTTCTACTCACGGTTCTTTCCCTTTTGGTAGAAGGTATTCAAAATCCGTAAATTATTGCGTTCTGCAAATTCTACTAGTAGCTATTTTCTGGCATTTCTAGTACCGATGACATAATCTCCTACTGCCTGGTCTCCAGCCTGCTTTTTCCCTACCTTTGCATCAACGTCTCCCATCAGTATGGTATACTGTGTTTTTACTTTACTCATTGCCGATTCCACGTCTTCATGGAAGCTTTCAACTGAAGCGTCATTATGGCTGGATGTAGGTGCATAAGCCTGTATCATCTTCATCTTGTATCTATTATTGAGTTTAATCACAATACTTACCACCCTTTCATTAATGCTATAGTATTCCAATATGTTGCCAGCTATGTTTCTATGAATTAAAAACCCCCCTCCGAGTTCTCTTCTGTCAGCCAAGCTTCGATAGCGAAGAACGTGCCCATTCTGTAGCACCGTATAGGCCTCATCTGTCCTCTTAACCTCACTGAGCCCTATTATATCCCATTTAACACCCTCTAGCTCCTCAAATAGTACAGCTAGATTTGCCTCACTAGATAAGGTTCTAGCGGTAAGCGTTACCAAGATCAGGTTCCAATAGCGGCCTGTCTGGATCTAGAGAGATTCTTAGCCCCCTCTGCTGCATTGCAGATCTGACCGCCACCGTGGTCAGTTGCTTCGCAGCTGCTGGGGACTGAGGGCCATGAGTTAATTGACGTTTGCATGTGGGAGGTAGTGGCCAGATACTGCACCAGGGTGGCCAATCGTTCTCTGGTGAGAACCCCCCCGTTAGCTCGGATCCGTGGTGTCACTACACACAAAACGCCTGCTTACTCAGACACCCCTGCGGCTAAGAAAATACTTACATAGTTGCAAAAAAAAATAATGTTTGCCATTTAACAGTAACAACAAAATTATGTACTCCAAACGGGCAATAGGGTTTATCATTGCTGTAAGTCAGCACATGTAGGACATAGACTAAGGATTTAGATAAAAGTGTCTTTATGAGGCTGCTCAGCTCGTACTACAATAAAATTACACCTTCGAAGGTTAGCAAAAATGTTTGCTCAGGCTGGGTACATCACAAAAGCGTAGCCAAGTTTTGACTGGCAAGTAGATAGTTTTAGGTACCTAGTTCCAAAAAGAAGGTGAAGAGATGGTGCACTGTAGACATATTTAGAACTGTACATGTACAGCAAAACATAAATGCATTCACTATGGAAAGAATAGCACTGCCCTTACTGGTACACCTTCAGTGAATTAATGATATCTGCTGTTCATGCATGCCATGGAAGAACACATTTGCCAGGATTAAACTACGTATTAACTATCCACGCTATTACTGAATCAATATTTATTTACACCACTTCATACAACAGGCCCAAAAGGCTAAGCTGAGCAAAACGCTGAAAGTTTTTCAGCTTGACAAAGGTCTGGTTTCCCATGGGACAGTAGTGAAGTTGGTTTGAAAACAATAAAACAGAGTATGGTATGGAGTGCAGTGCAATTAAGCAATACATTGTATTTTGGCTGCAAAATACGATCAAGGAACACGTTAGAAAAGTAAAGTAAAAGAAGCGTGCTATCAAAAATCATTCTGATTTTATTTTTAGACTTGTTCAACCGTTGAGAGCATGTGGCGTTCTGGAATACGGTTTGTTTTAGCTGAGTTAAGTCAACACAAAGACTGTAATCTCTCGACACTTTAGAGACCACTATAGCGTTAGACTGTCCGCACTGGCAAATCACTCCGGCACTCTTGAGCTCATGGTTTTGCTGGTTTTGCTTGGCAGTGTGATGTACTTATGCATAATCATTGTGTTTTGTGCATGACTGGTACAACTTGTGACTGTATAAAAGCAAGGACTTTCCCAAGAAATGAACTGTTGGCACTTCAGCACTCTGTCTCATCTCTTCTATCCCATCTTGTAGTTTGCACTGTTAAGCACTCTTTATCATGCTGCTAAAGAGTCTGCCATTTCACTTAAATATAATCCACAGTGACCTGTTGCCCATAGCAAATGCAGTTTTTGTGCATTTTTTGGTAATAAATGATGAAATGTATTCATCAGCTCTGCATTTGCTGCCACAGAAAGTGCAGTACATACTGATAGTGAATCTGTAACGATCACTACTGCTAATTTGCTTGAAGACAATTTGCGTAGAGCTAGAACAATAGCCAATAATTCTGAAATGAATACAGGGGTATAATCTTGGAGTAGAATCGAAAAGGACTTGTCAAGAAAAGAAGAGAAGATGCCGACCTCAGCCTTTTCTTTTCACACAGATGCATCAGTCGCAATTATGTTGCTTATCTCCAGGTGAGCTAGATAATCTTCTAACAGGTGCTTTAAATGCCTATATGGCAATTGTTTCACATTATAAGGAGATATATCATCAAATTGTATGCTAGGTATTGACTCTAGGTTGCTTATTGGGCCAATATGTTTAATTCTTACATTCAGCTGCTCTAGCATCACTTGTGCAAAATAATTTGTGGGGTTTGTAGTCGCGACCAATGTGTTTCGAAGAATAAGTTTAGCTTTTCAATAAAAATGTAAAATGAGCATTTTTGGTGCTACCTGTATATCTTAAAGAATGCTTGCACAGTAAGAATTCTAAACCTATTTAGCAGAGAAGGCAGGAGAGCTTCCATATACAACACGTTGTTTGCAACAACCTTTGGGCGTACCCAGGCACAAACGAAATGCTTCTCTTTTCAACAATACTAGGGGTCTTATTTTATAAGCTTCACTGCCAGAAAACAATACAACTCTAAATTTTATGACAGGCAACACATAGAGTGTATAAATCATTATTAATGTATCTTTTCTCAAACTTGCTTTCCAATTTGCGAGCTTCTGTAACCACCCCACGGCACAAGTTGCCTTAGAGTACACATCATCAATGCGGCTTCTCCAATTTAATGTATCATTATATGGGATGCCTAAATATTTCTTAAAAATTTGCCTGGGGAATGAGCTCATTACTATACATTAACGAGATGTTGATAGGCTGCAGAAAAAAGAATGCAAGGAGCGCACTTTTGTTAATGTTCAGCGCCATATGAATGTTTTTATGACAACCTCCTAACGTATTGAGATAATTTTGTAGACTCTAGTATAGTGATTGAAGATCGGTATTACTCACAAAGAAAGCAATATCGTCTGCAAACAGATATAACTGAATATCCTGAGTTGATGGAATGGAGCTTAAGAAGATGTTATATAAAACTGGTGACGGGACAACCCCCTGTGGTGCACCACATGTCTATATCATTTTGATGTTATATCATTATATCATTTGAATGTTATATCATTTTGATGAGCACTCTTCTTTAAAGCAGTAATTATTCCCCTCCTTTTAAAAACTCCAAAACCCATAGCAGTGATCTAGTTAGGAAAGTTCCATCTGTTTTAATAAAGTTGAATGCTCAACCTTAGCCAAATCTAGAGTAACTAGTGCAGAGACTTTGTCTCTGTCAACTTCAGGCTAGATCCAAGTCACTAACACAATAGTAGCCACCTCTACAGACACAACTAGCATAAACAAGATTGCACACATAAGCCAGCTTGTGTGTGCAATTTGCGCCACACACAAGCCAGCTTGTGTGTGCAGCTTGTGTGTGCAAGCAGCCAGCTTCTGTACATTGCAGGCACGTGGGCAACGCTTGATAGCCGACAACAGTTAGCTAGTCTCAAGTTTCTTTTTCTTCTTTCACACAAATTGGTAAACCTGAATAAGAATGAATATCTAAAGGCTCTGAACCTTAAATTACCGTAACTTAAGCAAAGCCCTTCCTGTGACATTGTAGCATGTTTGAATATTTGTTTCTTCCGCAGTTATGAGTGAATTGGCTTGCCAAATGACATCTTTAGTGCTAAATCACCTGAATCATTTTCATCACTATGGAATTTTATTTAGAGACATTGCAATAGGTGCTACAGTATGTGTGCACAAACAAAGACAAAGACTATGTACAGTGTATACCACCTAAGCTATAACATAACCGCTTGTAGAGGAGAACCGGTTACAGTGCGGTCTTTTTCGACTCCCGTTCACCCTCCCATAGAACCTCATGTATATGCATGCCGCTTATTGTGCAGTCTTTCAAGATGAAAGACCGTTTATATAAAGAAGCTGTCAGATAATTATTCTGACAAATGCGGTCGCAAGTAAGCGTCTTAAAGAGGCATGCTGGGTGCGCCACTCGGGATCGAAAGACAAGGTCATTACAAAGAAGGAGGTGACGCGGAGGGAACGAAGTGCGGAAGAAAAAAAAAAGACTGCGGCATGCTGCGCATGCCTGTTGACTATGGGAGGAGAATGGTTGCCTTGGCGATGGATAAGCCTTTGTACCAGTGCCGACGTGGCTACAGTGCATTAGCGTCGCTATCGTGGCTCTGGCCGCGCGCGACTCAACTTGGCACGTGCGATCCTGTCAGTTATCAAGCTTGCAGCAGATCACGTGTTGGCTACCTCGTCCGTAAATTTAAAACCTCTTCCAGCATTATGACGTGAGCTTTCGCCTCTGCTGCCAGAGTGCTGTCTTACGTAAGCTTGGCGGGTTTTCGTCGTTGTTGATCTCCCGGCAACGAACGCCAACTTCATATGAAATGAAACGCTTCGCCCATGAAATCAAATGCTTGGCGCCTTTCAGTGCGCAAAATTACGAACATCATTCGACATAGTTCCTGTGTAATGCACATAATCGTGGTGATTTGAGAGGTAGTTGGTTTCTTTTGCTTTCTTTTGGGAGACCCCCTTTTTTCGATTTCATTTCGTTGCCAACACTTGTCTTTGGTTGTTAAATTTTGTTTTAACATTCCGGAATTGAAATGGTTGTAAGCACCTCACATAGCATTCTCGGACACGCGAGACTGCATGCTCAACACGTTTTGCAGCAAGTGCGGCCTTTGAAAAAAGTTGTTTTAGTTACAGTGTGGTGCTGCCTATAGTACAGATATTCAGTGAATCCTGCGTGTTATAAGTGCATGCTATAAGTGGTCAATACTGCGCACATGCTCGCACATTGTTACACCTGTTCAACAGCTTTCATCTGTGTGTCGTTTATGTTATTGATTGATGTTATCATACTTGCAAGTTTAGTTTTTATTTTTACCCCCACTAGAACAGATTTATTGCTTTTATGCTGTTAGCATTCTTGTGATTGCTTTGAAGTGAACATTTTTCCTTTTTTCTCTTTCACAATATGAAGTCTTATTTACTTTGTGTGCCGTCTCCTGTAAAGACCTGGAAAGACAAGACCTACAGTATTCAATAAATCAAATTTACGGTGTAGTAAGTGCAAGCAGTGCAGCGGCCAGCTATTTCTTATGCAGCAAGTGACTGCTTAAATGTTCACCAGAATCAGTCGCAACACTCAGATGTTGGCTGTGAGTGACCACCACCGACACGTCCCCAGAGCCAGTCATCACACTGCACTGGTCACCATCGAGGCCCCCTGTAAAAAACATCATGAAGGTTCAGATGAGTGCATAGTGAGCTTCTTTATTCTGAATCTCCTTCGATTGCAGAGTACTGGCCTACGAAAATGAAGCACCAGAATGGTTGGACTTCTCTCCCTAGATTAACTTGATTACACACAAAACGCATCTCTCTATAATCACTTCCATTCCAGCTAAACGTGCAAGATTGCCACCATCCCTGCTGTCAGACCCTTATTTAGAAAGGGCAGTGCAAGTATACAAGCATGAAGAGACACCACAGATGCTAGAGTAAATACCTCAATGTTCATGGTCTCTAGTCTGTTTTTTTTTTTTTTTTTTGTTCTTGTGTCCTTGCACTGCCCTTTCTAAAGAAGTACCAAGCACCGACTATGCCAAACAAAGTCCTGTTGCCAGACCTTCGCTCTTTGCTACCAGGTGGCTGACTTTCCTGCAGAACTCTATCGTCTGGTGGCTAAGTGTACCAAATTTCACAATGACAAGTGGAAGGGCACAAACCTGAGCACATTCACTAATCACACATAAACAAATGCAGAAGTCATTTTTCATAAAGTTTACTGCGCCTCAATAGAGAAACACCAGAAAAAAAAAACACAAGTGCTCAGCTGCCCATTTTCTTCAAGACTCACGCAAAAAGTGAGATAAGAGCACAGGAAGTGGCAGTGAGGTATCTGACACAAGGCAAATAAAAGGCAAATTAAGAAACATAAAAAAAATGTTCAAGGAACAAACATATGTGCTCTCAAGGACCTTCGAATCATTTAAAATGCAGTGCAGTTTCCTGGGCCAGTTGATACATGATTCGAAGTGAAAGGTTCCAGGAAGTTAGAAACGTGAACACAAAAAGAAAAGTGACACACAAGAAAAAGCTGGACCTGGAACTTATGTTTATTTAAAAGAGGGTACTCCCTAGAGCACCACTGTGCATGGGTAAAAAGCCAACAGCAGAATCATGTCAACATGTCATCTAACATGCTCCACTCCCGTTTTTTTTTTGTCTTAAGTATACCTTAACACGTGTGCAACACGGGAAATTATAGATTCGCCAGGCATTGAAATTATCAGTGCTAAGCACCGACAGCTCATTGACACATAATTCAGCGGCCAACTACCTAACGTGGCAAATTTTTCATATTCCTCTGTCACGTCCTTGCTCTCTACCAGTATAATCAATGGTGAATCACTAACGAGCCCAATAGCTCACTTTGATTATTATGTACCCTTCCCAATATCGATACATTATCAAAATAGGGTATGCATCTACACTTCTTGCAAGGCAAAGGCAAGTGCCCTCCTGTACCAGTTGGCCGCAAATTAGTACGATGTTCCCGCATGCACTCGTTGAGGCATCGGCCTGTCTAGCTGACATAGGACTGACCATAGAAGAGACGAATCTTATACGGTACAGGTGTCACGCATTTTGTGAAAACATTCTAGTGCATGTTTTTCCCACCAGCAATGCTTGCAACTGTCTTCCCTCCTGCGATGCTTCTGCACAGACCAGCTAGCTTTCTGGACTAGTAAATATCAGTGCAATGCGATTTATCGTGGCCATCAGTTTAATCTTGTGAGATAAGCCATCAAGATATGGTATCACTCCAACCTTTTACCTTTTCGAGGCCTTCGTCAGCCTTACCTGGCTTCTTTCTCGTCATTTTTCAGAATGAAAATTTTGCCACAGATTTCGGTGGTGAATTCGGGTAGCGTGCTGAAGTTGACCTCGCCTGTTGGGCATCAAAACTATCTTGCATAGAGGAAGAAGCCAGTGAAGGCTGACTGTAACGATGTGGTTCTTTGTTTTTGTTTCGCACAATGTGCAGGTTCGATTTGGGAGGTCCAAAGAGCCACATCAGGACACTTCCCGAAGGATGAGTCTGTTTGACGCAAATATTTAATGGCAACAGCTTCAGACCACTTAACCCAAATATATCAGTCCCTCCTCTCGCATACAGTCATCCCAAAATACAGAAGCTGCACACTAGTCCCTAAACAAAAGGTCCCTAAGCACACAGTTTCTATACACAGTGTGCGTCACGGAACGTTAAAGAAGCGGCATCCTCACCCACGTCATTGCGCAAGAGCCTGGGCACGAAGCACGGGGCTAATGTCGTCGCCCCAGTTGGCGTCGGTTTCGAACAGCCACACGAACCGCAGGAGAAGCAGCCTTCTTACACTGCCGGTGGACGCTGCACCAGCTGACGTTGCACCAGTTGACGCTGCATTTGCCACACTCACCCCGAGGCAGAGTCCCGGCCGGACAGCCCCGCCTTAGCTCGAGCCCTAAGATCGACAGCTCAGACCTGTCCGTGGGCACGGGAACGTGAGCGCAGCCAGGTAGTCCTGGAGCCCCTCAGGTCACCGGACGATAGAGGTAGGAGCCTTGGCTCGGGTCCTAAAACCCGACTGCCCTGATGCGTGGCTCGTCTTCCTCTGCCACCACTGCGACTCTTTCTCTTCTCAGTCTCACGCGTGCTTTCAACAATCGACCCGTTGAACTGGCGCTTCAATCATTTATCGTTTGTTCACATCCGTGCCAGCTTCTTCCTCGTTGCCGAGTTCCAACTTGGTTAATGGCGGGCACTTCAAAGTTTGCTCACTCAAATTCAAGTTCCGCGCACTCCATCACACTGACGAAGGCATGGCATTCTCGAAAAGGCAAAAGATTCGAGTGATGCCATATCTTTACGCCTTATCTCGCAATAATAAATGAATAGGTACAAGAAACGGCATTGTACTGATATTTTTCATGCCCAGCAAACTGGCAGGGCTCCACAAAAGCATTGCAGAAGGGAGGAGACATGCAAGCAGTGATTGCGGGAAAAAAACACTCTAGTGTTTTCACAAAATGTGTGACATCTCTAGTCTATCAGATACGTCTCTCCTGTGGTCAGTCCTACAGTAGCCAAACAGACCGATATCTACACAAGCACATGCAGGAACATCATAGAAATTGGCAGCGAACTGGCACAGGAGGGCACTTGCCCTTGTCTAGCAAGAGGCATAGATGTTCTCATCCCCATTTCTTTCTCTTAATTCACTCCTTAGCAAGCACTCCCGAGATAATCATGACACTGCTGTTGGCTTTTTATGCAGGCTTGGCAGTGCTCTAGGGAAAACAGTTTTCCAGTAAACTTTAGTACTATGTCCAGTCATGTCCTTTGCATTACTTTCTTTTTTTGCTTGTGCTTCAAACTTGCTGCAACCCTCCACTTTACACAGGAAATCATAGAAACATAGTGTTGATGAGCTGGGCTTCTTTTTGATGCAATGTGATTGTTTTTCATCTTTAATAATGTAAACTATCTATTCTCTTCCAGTTAGATTCGTTTGGGTAAACAACACATCAGTGAGCAGTGTTGTCTGTCGACCCAGCCTTTTGATCCCAGCGATGAAAAGGGTGTAGTTTTGTGAGCCTAAATTTACGTAATGATTACTACACTAAAATCGTAGGAGTAATTAATGATCCCTATGCTTTCTTTGGCCTCATTGCAGGACTTCTTTAGCTTTGTCATTTACTCATTGCCACACAAACAGCTTGTTTCAAACGCTGTCACATGGGCCCTGCCCAAAGCCAAATCAAATAGTATTTCCATTTCCTCAGAATTAAGCACGGTGGCGTCGATTAATTGACAGGTGACTACTTCGCTACCATACTTAAGACATGGCCGCTGTTGGAACCAGGGTTTTGACCATGATACCACTGCTGCCACCAGTTGTTGGATCTGGGGTTTGACGGGGATCCCACCGCTGCTATCCGTAGTTGAGGTGTTGGGGCTTTGCCATTACCAGCTCCGGGGACTCGGGAGGAAGACACCAAGCATGAAGAGACAGATGAAAAAAAATCTGCAGAGGTTTATTCTATAATATTTACAAGCGAGAATTTCGTGCCACAACACGAACATCTAGACGAAGATGTCATCCTACATCGTGACAATCTTTCTGTCATGTTCTCTCGAGGCAGCACACAGACAAGGCCCAGTTCAAAAGTCGACTGAACTATGCGGCCAGCAGCACATTTATTTCAATGATTATAGGAGCGAAAGGTGCCATCCTGTGGCGCTATGTGAAACTGCTTAGGCTGATGGCAGCAACATAACATTCCTTCCCTCCTTCACAAAAAGAAAAACACAAGAAGCGAAATAACAAAAAAAAGAATGACAACAAGTGCTACAATGGGCAAGCAGAGAGTTCAGCTCGACTACCGGGGCACATAACACATAACAGGATTTCGCACAGGCGAGCTGTGGTGAAGTGGAGTCTGAGAAAGGGCCTCTGGCTTTGGGGCATCCACCGGCGCACTGGCACAACCACCCGGATCACTGGTGACACATGTGTCCTCGAATTCCTCACACAAAACCCCGTAGTTGCAATGGCACCAGTGTTCCGTGTAGGTGCGTAGGACGTGGCAGCCTCCGCAGCATCCAGAGCCACAGTTGGTTGCACGCTTGAAGCATCTGGAGAGTCTACAGTGGGAGCGGCCAGAATACTTTGACAGCTCAGGCTGCCACGGCCACCGCTCGCACATGATTATGATGCCATGTCCATTGGCGGCCATCTGGTAGTCTTAGCACTGCCGCATACCCTTTGTCTGCCTCTACCGTTGCTGGTACCCAGGCAGGAACTGGGGGAAAATTACGAGCAAAAACAGTTGTTCCTGGTGGTGTGTCCTGCCAATCCTCTGTTGACCCGGAAGACTCTGAGAAATCTGTTGAGACATCACCATGGTCCGTAAGTCCGGCCATAGTAAATCAAATGCCGTTTTCAACTTCCAGCCCATGAGAAGTTCAGCGGAACTACAACCTGTTACTTCATCCGAGTGGTCCGGTATGTGAGCGAAATTCTCGCTATCTGTACGTACAAATCATCCTCTGGCTGCGCTTTCTTCAGCTTCTATTTAATAGTCTGCACGCTCCGCTGCTTCTTTAGAGGCTGGGTGATAAGGTGGTACAAGAATTTGTCGGATGCCTGTTTCTACGCAGGAAGATCTTGTATTCTT